TACGCCCTTCACTGACCCCCCCTCCACGGGTTCTTCAGTACATAACCTCAACAGCCTTTCCTATATATGTGGCAATACATATGCAGTTCTATTATTGTGTGTCTCTGGTATTTTTATAACTCCTTTTGTGTCTTTTTAAAAGTACTGATTGAAATACACATGGCAAATTTTACTGGTATGCACCATGTAAATGTATAAGGATAATAAGGATTATCCTTATCCTTATTTTATTTTGTTACATGTCAGAATCAGATTAATAAAATAAAATAAAGTATAATAAAATGTTATTGATCTTCGGTGGGAAATTCACAGGCTACCTAGTAGTAATTCAATATATAAGCATATAAGGTTTACATTAGTTCTACCTTTATTGGCTGAAACATTAAATGCAATGTACACAGTAATGTGTTGTTTCCACTGTTTGGACTGTCAGCTTTGTTGCTTATTTATAGTAAATTATCTTGAGATTAACTCTACAATAGTATAAAAAAATGTTTCATCTTTATGTTTGGCAAATTATTTGGTTGAAATTAAAAAAAACTTTGGGAAACATCCTGTTAATCATATATTCGCCTAGTTAACCACAACGTATTACTCAACCTTGCATGATAGTACATGAGCTGCTTTTAACAGTAAAATGTTCCAGTATTGGCTTTGATACTAGTGATCCTGGCCTGGTACTAATGGCATTGCATTGAGACCAAATTCTGTGGTCTTGTCCAGTCCTACAACAGACATAAAACAGCAAGTTCTGACAGGCTATGACTTACCTTCACTAGAAAACTCTGGGAACAGCATGACCCCTTTTGCTCTTGTCAGTTGAAGGCACTTCATGTTTAGAAAATGTACAGCTCAGGGAAGTCTCTGAATTAGTCAATTTTCTGTACCAAATGTATTAAGGGTCATAAGCAGAATATTTTCTGAAGATCAAAGTCAGTCATCACAGTACCAGAGAGCAGCTGATTTCAAGTGTTGAACATATGGCAGTATTTCATATTTTGTTGATCCAGCTTTGGTGAAAACAATTCCAGTTGTATGTGATCTCTTTC